GGTAAGCTTCCGGCACAACGTGATCGGGGTGAGGCCGACTGGTCTCCGAAGTTGCCTGGCTGCAGCACTGCTGCAACGCTACGACTGCCCAGCCATCCGCGCCAAACACTGGCTGCGAATGAATACAAGCTGCGGTGTGAAAAAAGTCTGGCCGGCATACTGACATTCCATCGCCAAGGGAACTCCAGTTTACTTCGGTGTGGACACTTGGGACCTGCTTGTCCAGTAGCCAGGGGAGCCAAAGGTTAACCTTTGGGAGCATATTGAGGTCATACAGGGATTGTAGTACCCCAGAAAGGTTACAGGTTACGTACTCTACTACTAGGGGGCCCTGGAAGCACGGCTACAAGCAAGACAACGCAATACTCTGATGTGCAAAGACGCGAAAACGCTAAAAGAACCCTATACTTACTGCACTGCTACAGCTGTCTTTCCGTACACAGCGTGACGACTCCGGGAAGTCCAGGAACAGCATAGCGCAGCCCTTGTCTGTGGTATTTCGAGAGTAGCGATTGACCATGGGGCAAGGGCGGAGAGATGGAGAAAGAGGGGGCAGGCAAGCCGATAGACAATTACGGAGACCGTGCCCCTTGCTGCCTGCAAGGTTCCTTGGATTGGCGGGCATGCACGGCGACAGCGGCAGCCGGAATGGATGCTGGAACAAAGACCTGCTTCTTCACAGTTCAATTTTCTTGCAACCAACGATCGTGAAGATTTAGATTTCAGAGATAGTGGTTCTGTTGAACGAGAAGTTAGCCATGTCGATGTAGCTTCTTATTGCTACAAGGCATGCTCACCAGAAAGCCGAAACAGATGTCAATGTACTGATGTTTCTATAGCTCGTACTATCACTAGGTACGTCATGTTTTGAATATCTGGCACGAACTCACTGACGCTTACTGCTGCTCTCCCCCCATCCACACTCAGTCTAGATGCGAAAAAAAACAAGGAACATGCTTCGTTCCAAGCGGAACCCTGTGACAGTTCCACTTTTGAAAGGCGAGTCTGCCAAAACCCAGGTAAAACACACATTGCCAAAAAAACGATAAGAAAGATACTAACAAACATAACGCTTCAAATTAGTAAAAGACAAGAGAAAATAATGCATTTTCTATTGTTTGAAGCGTTGTGTTGCTTTTCCTTGTTTTCATGCAATCTATTTTGGAACTTGCATCTTCCTTGGGTGTTGGCACAATCGCCTTCCAAAAGTGGCAACGGTCACATGTTTTTGCTGCGGAAGAAGCATGTTCCCTGAGTTTGGGCACATTTCATCGAACAAGTCGGAGCAGTTACATGGTTTCCGGAACCGTCTTCTTTCAGCTTTGACACGCTGGAGTCAACACTCCCAGGTGGAAGATTCTTCTTGTCAACCTGTGGCAACTGCACATCAACGAAGATGGTGTTTAGGCAACGTACCAAATCTGATACCCAAACCGTGAACCCTAAACTCTAAACCCTACTGGTAGACACCGGTACTGTGGACGAGCCCTAGGGGCTTTCCGTCGTCCTTCTTGCAGCGAGGCGGCTCTCGGAGCGTGTGCCTGACGATGTGTGATGGGAGGAATCTGATGTTTCATAAACATGCTGCATTTCTACAATTACAAATACATGGATGGATATGTAAACTACTGCCTCTTGATAATGAAAATGTAAAAAGTTGTAACAACCATGCCAACACAAGGACTAGTTTCTGAGGCTCGAGAATTTCTTTGGCGGGCTTGGCCGGAGTGCCCCGCTTCAGAGCAGAATGACCCTGTGATGGCAAGAGCATACAACAGGCTCCCTCGGAAACCCAGACATCTACTGCAGCCGCGTCACTGTAAATGCATCGCATTTTGTCGCTGCATCTCGTGCAGAGCTGTCGGCGACACGATCCGAACAGGCGGCTCGGACAATGTTCGGCGGGGCGTGGAAGCCTGAGGCGTAAGAATCTAAGTAAATTAGGGTACCTTATTTTGGGGTCCTTATAATAAGGATCCTACTTTTTCGGGTACTATATTAGGGTCCCCTATTTGTCCAAATCCGTCGCGTTGCGAATCGATCTGCAATGCTTGGGACGACACGGACTGTGCGGAGAGGGGCCGGGGCGTCGCAGCTGCCTCAAGAACTTACAAACACTTGCTGCAGGATCGCGGAAGTGAATTACCTAAGGCAAGAATCACTCTGCTAATAGCTTCTGGCTGTGTAGCAATGGCGTACTATTGCTTGGCTACGGCTACAGACTATTACATGTGGATTCGTGCTTTGAGCCCGCCACGTTGTTTGCAGAGTGCGGCCGTGATCTCAATTCCAGGATGCTACCAGCCTCGGTAGCTGCCACTGGCCCACTCTGCGCACAACCTCCGAACTTCCATCTCCCTGCTGTGTTCTGCATCAGATTCCTTATGCGGGAAGCGCTAACTCAGGGGAACCTGAATTTCGGACCCCCCCCCCATGCATCTCACGCTGGGAAGAGCATGGAGCACTGCAGATTCGAGCGCAGCGCCCAGGATCTTGCACGCGGTGGCCTTGCTCGCTACAGCACCAAGAGAGGCTTGGCCAGCAGAGATTCCTCATGGTCCATGCTCTAAAATACAATGATTGCAGAGTCAATGTCAGCAGGCTCAATCCTCCTGTAATCGTATTTTTGCGCAAAAAGATGCATACAAAGGGCAGGGAAGAAGACTCTAAGAGGAAGAGAGTGAGAGAGAGAGAGAGAGAGAGAGAGAGAGAGAGAGATCATGAGAGAGACACATATCGAGATGTGATGCAAAAGGTACGCAAGGAACTAACATACACTGAATTGCCTGTCGTTTACAGATACGACATTAAGTCCATCCGGCCATTGACTTGCTACCAGCTGCTCTCTCTCGACCGACGGGGCAGAAGACCAGCACCGAGGTGGGACCCAAGGCAGCGAAATCAAGCCAGGCTCTGTCCAGGAGCTACCGCCTTCATAGCTATCCGCCTTCTACACCCACCACTGCACGATATGACCACTTCAAAACATCGAGGCCGAGGACGCGGCGCGTCATCTGATTGATCGACATCTGACCGCCGCACTGCATCCTGGCAAGGGCAAGGAAGGGACGGTGCCGAGCATGGAGGAGAGGATGGCAATAGCAGCTTGCTGTTGTTGCGATGCTTCGTGGTAGTGGTGCTGGTGGTGGTGAGTGGTGCATTTCCGCTAAGACTGCATGAAAAGGCTGATGATAGCAAGAAGCGGAAGAATAATTCACGTCTTCATCGCGCCGAAGCTGTTGATGACCATGCAATGCATGATGGTGATGACCATGACGATGACGAACGCAACGATGGTCAAATGGTGATGAAGAAGAAGATGATGATGATGACCAATGATGACGAGGGTGATCATGGAAACAGTAACAAGTGCGATGCAGTGGAGATACGCAGCCTAGATTCAGATACCTCCTCATCGTCATCACCATCACCACCATCATTATCATCATCACCGCATGGCACTATCATCATGGTCCCTCGTGTGCCTACTCATCAAGTCGACACCGTCATCCGCAGCGCAACAACGATTGTCCCCGGTCAGTGCTTACGCCTGGCCATGGTGCTGCCCGGGTCACTTGCAACACAAGGCAGCCCTCGGGATCTAGTTAGAAACGTCCATCCAATCCCAACTCCATAGTTCGACCGCCAAGTCCTCAAAGTCTAACAGCCAGTTCTTGACAGGACCTCGTAAAGCCGGCTGAAGACGGTGCGACTGCAGGTGTCCCTCAATAACCGCACCTGAAGGGCTTGCAGGGTATGGCAGTATAGCACATTAGCTTCCAGTCTACAGGTTCTGGTTGCGGACTTTGTGATATTTGGGTTTGGTAAAGGGCTGTCGCACAGTTTCAGGTGTCGGGAAACGATACGACGGTACCAGTCCTGATGCCACATCAAAGTGGCGCAAGCCCGTTCTGTGCGCCATGTGGCTGCTTTTGAGGCCACATGTCATGTGCCAATGCTAAGTCGACAAAGGTTTGGGATCAATTTTCACAGATCGTTCGGCGTCGGACTTCGCAAGTCCGGGAAAGTCAAACGGACCAAAGGCCTTTCTGGTAGGGAAGGTGCGTGAATCTGGGAGTCTTGTTATTGCGAATTGGCTGCCCAAACTTCTTGGAACATGCATCCAAACATCCATCCATCCCTGCCTCCCTCCGCCCACGCGTCCACTCCATCCCTCCATCCATCCTTCCCCCCATCCCACCATACATGCGAACATGCATGCACTGACATACAACACACCTACGCGCCTACACACCTGCGTACCTTTCTGCAACTGGCTGCAGCGACTCTGCCAGGATCCGACCTATGAAGTACGTCTGTGCATGCATAAATAAGGACAGACAGGCAGACAAGGATACGGAGAAACAGAGAGACAAATGTGACATGAATGTAAGAATATATTAAACTGGAGGTAAATGTGCCAGAAACTGGTTTAGTGAAAGATGAACAAACCATGGGCATCATATGCAAAGTCGCATATTCATATACCCTCGGGCATCGTGCACACATGCTGTTTATGCATAGCGCCAAGACACGCTCATGATCTGCATATGGACAGAAAGCCACAGGTGCAGATAGATCAGGATCCGATGCCTCTTCCTTGATCCCGGTGGCGGCAGATCGTCTTCTTTCTGACTCTGCTTCCATTAACCTTCGAGCTTCGTCTAGAGCCCCTTTTTGGGATTCTCATAGTCGAAGCACCTTTTAGCCACCCCAGGAGTCGGGCATGACTGGCCTAGTTTCATCTTAAAGACGGTTTTTGCAGCTTCTGGAAGTCCAAGATTTACTGAAACCAACGGGAGCAAGGGGGTTCGGCTGGAGGACTTGGAGTTCTTGTTCGTGTGAAGGCAGCATGCGTGGCATGTAGGTCCGTTCTCTCTTCACTCGCAGCTGGTCTCATCGATTCTCCAGCCCCGCTCATACGAGGTCAAGAGATAATTTGAAGGGCAGCTACAAATTCACCGACTGAGTCGTGCCATATTCAGCACGTCCGCCTGCCTTCAGCAAGCTCCTACAGTCACAGCTGCTCCTGTTCGACTGGAGATCTCTAGAAGCAGCTGCGGGCGCACTTTGGCGCTAAAGTCTGCCTTAGGTATACGACTGGCATCCAAGGAATTCGTTCGCTTGCGCTGAGGTCGGACAAGTTGCATGGCATTCCGTGGTATTGCCCTGCCTTCCTTCACTTGATTCCCAGGCCTCCCCTCTTTGCCCTTTGCATCGGCATCAGGAGTTTCGGATCGCAACAGCGCTAAGGGCAGACGCTCCACCTTGTGCACAGCGAGCTGCCGCCGTAGGTCCAGGGAACGAGACCTGTTCGTTTCGGGGCTCTCCATGTTCGCCGTCGGAGCGGAACACTTTCCCTTCGCCGTCGGAGCGGAACAATTTGGCTCGGAAGTCACCATGGCACCCGGTCGATCCTTCGAGGCCTTCCTGCGCTCCAATCGGTCTGGAAGCGGGCCTTCTGTTCCCCTCGGAGCATTCATCGGCAGCGAACTCTTGGGCTCAGAAGCCAAGTCCGGTCGATCCTTCGAGGCCTTCCTGCGCTCCGATGGCTCTGATCGGTCTGGAAGCTCTGTCTGTGATCCCGGCTGCGCCCGAACGGAAGACTTTGAGGATGGCCTTGGCTCGCTTTCCGGCTTCCGGCCTCCTTTAGACACGGGCCTCGGCTCCTTCTGCACATGGCTCCGCTCCTTCTCCTTGGCATCCTGTGGCCCCGGTTTTTCCGGTACCCCATGCCAGCCGCAAGCTCCACGGCACGGCCGCTCACGGGCTGCAACGTCCTCGAGGCTTAAGCCCACGCCATTCGGGAGGATGTCCTTCAGCCTGGTGGTCCTGCCTGTCCGCGGTCGGATAGTCTGACCCAGCAAGGCTCGTAAACTGGCCTGTCGAGTGCTCGGGACCCGGCTGTGGCAATTGTGGCCGTACAAGTCCAAGATGCTGATGCAAACAGCCTCACCAACCTGACCCCAAGAGCTCTGTGTGAAAGGCACCGGCTCCTCTGCAGGGCAGACAAAAACGGCGCTTCCATCTGTTGCAGTAACAGATTAAACTCAGGTCTCTGACTTCATGGTCTGAAAAGCCTCTCGTTGCTGCTTGGCTTGGCAAACAAGGGTGACACCGAGGGGTCCTCGCTGGTCGCGCTGCAGCCGGGAGACTCTTCTAACCTCACGTGGCAGTTGAGTCAGATGAGTCGCGGCCCTGACAGTACAATTCTTCTAAGCAGGACGGATTTAAGTTACGGCGGTGGAACCAGCAAAAGATTGTCTGCGATCGGATGCCAGGAAACCACCTAGCGCCCCTGAGAGGCAACATCGGCTTGGTAAACCGGCCAGTGTTGTAATTACATTCCAGGGTGTAAGCGTTGCAAACCTTGCAATCTCGGTAGACCGCCACTCGTCCCGAGCCCTCCTTGGACATGCCATCCTTCCCTTCCTTCTCTGCGTCGTCCGCCTCGCCGAAGTCGCAGAGTTCCAGGTCGAAGTAGGGTGAGTTGATCTGACAGAGCCGGGCGAAGCCGGCATTCCATCCCTGCCCAGGGCCCACGAGTCGGTTGGCCAGCAGGAAGCATCCGCGCTTCGAGGCGTGACCATGCAAGTCCAGGTAGACTAGTAAGCGGTTCTGCCTGGCCCAGTGGCTCAGGATGCGCTTTGTGGCCCAAATGCCCTCGTGCTCCTTCGGAGTGGGCTTGTCATAATGACGGTTTAAATTGAGGCCCAGAGAGTTCGTTCTGTAGTGGCCACATGCAACTCCGTCCGGATTCAGAATCGGGACCAGTTTGAACACAAAACGGTCCCGCAGCTTTGCAGCCCGCGGGTCGTCCGAAAGGAGAAAGCGCAGAGCCCCGAGGAAGACAAACTGCCCTGGGGTCTCACCAGGGTGGACACGGGCAGACAGGAAGACGATTGGTCGGTCCGGGAACTTCAAGGGCAAGTCGCTCTGAGGGCACGGAAGGTCCGGGGGAGGCATGTCGACCTCGTCCATCCCAGGCCTGCATGCTTCAGACAGCGATGAATGCCGTGCGTCAACACGGCTTGACAATGGATCAAAGCACAAAACAGCTTACGGCTGTACATGCCTGCCCCTTAAATGGACCTGGACCATGGGACCTATCACCTTGATCCGACCGCATACTCTAATTCCTCAAAGCCAACCCAACCCATCCCCATGAGAGTTCCAAACCCACGGCACCCCGGCGAGGCCGTTACGGTGAGGAGGTCCACTCGCCGACCCTGCAGAGATCTGTGGAGCAGCTGCCTTGCAAAGCATTATACTTTGGTGTCCTGGTTGAAAACCACGTTTGCTACCAGTATCGCAACCATACGCCAGAAGCGCAACAATACAAGACAGCATGTTGCAGGGCAATGCTTACTCAAAGGAACACGTTGTAAAGGGTGCTGGCACCACAAAAAAGACTTTTAAGTCTCCTGCCTGGCCAAACTTACAGCCGGCAGCAACAGGGAAACCAATCAATTTTCAACAGCTAAGCTAGCCGAACTAGGTGGCAGTGCCAGGTACACCCACCTCGTCACCCGCGTTGTCGTCCACAGCTACAACCCTGAATCCCGAACCTTACACCGACAACTCACAAGATCATCATTCTTCAGGTTTGCAGTTTCAGGACATTTCGGATATCGAGTAGAGAACGAGTTGAAACACACAGCCTGGCACACAATGACAAGATATCACTATCCTTGTCATTTAATTTCGTACTCGGACAAGCAGCCGCCGCAAATAGATTCCAGAGCCTGCCCGGGGCTGGTAAGTCCTCGGTGGAACGGCGAATGCTTCTCATAAGAAACAGTTCGTATGTAAACATACTATACCGCAAAACACCCCCAAACCAGAGTCCAACATTTAAACTTAAGGCCCCGAGCCGGTGTTGTAAGGTTGCACCTGACTTCGCCTCTCTGCGGTACTGTATGACTCCGGGGACTGCGAAACATATAGAAGCACGATATGACACTTTGCCAATGTAGCCAAGACCTCACGAATCAGCGAATTAAATGATCCGTCTACGCATTGACATAACACCCACTCAGTGTCGCTCCGCCCTGGGGATCAGTTCACAAGTCCGTTGCGAAAAGAGACTTACCCACAACTTATAGGTGCTTCTTTGCTATGTATGGTGTAGTGAAGTGCTTGACGTGCTTGTTCTATGATGATACTGCTTCTCCTCTGTCAAACACGATTAAACGGCAAGATTCTCTGCAAGAGATCGCGAGATGTTCCGAAGGGGCCGGTAGGGATCCGCGAAGGTCTCCGCAAAGTTCTCCTCCAGCTCCGCCAAGAGCCCCTGGCAGTCGAGATAGCCTTTGCACACGCCGGGAAAAGCGGTGAGCAAGCGACAATAAAAGTGCCACGGAAGACCAAAGACAATGCTTCTGTCTGCTGTGTTGGCTACGAGCTAAGCTTGGACAGTTTCGCATTTAGCTGTGCGCAGTCTACTTAGAACCCAAATGCCTTACACTCGTAGCTGCGACACACCTGCATGAACTTGCATGCAACAACTTGCAGGTTGGAGGTTGGCGGGGGGCATTCTGCAAGTCCAGCGGTAGATCATGAACACATGAGAAGAATTTAAACTCTCTACACACTGCCGAATGCAGAAACTACACTCGATACGCCAGTCCAAGACCAATGATGAATGAAAGGAAGCGGTACAGTATTGACATTCATACGCGCACATGTGGAAATGCATGTGCACAATCACACACACACACACCACACACACACACACGCATATGTGTGTATATATATATACATGTATATAAATATAAATATATATATATATAGATATACATATATATATATATATGTATACATATATATATATAGAAAAAGATATAGATATAGATATAGATATAGATATGCTCAGGTTCGCCTGTGATTTGCAAATGTCTGCACGATCGCCGCTCGGATTTCAGTGCAAGATTGTGGTGAAACAACTAATTTTAATTTCACCAAGCATCACACGCATGATTGCAAGTCTGTGGCTGACACCTACTCCTGCCGACAGGTCGCTGTACGGCGCACAGAAGGCATAGTACGTGGTGCCCGCACCACGGCGAGAGTAGTGGTGCCATCGGATGGAGAATCCGTCTGCCTGCTTCAATCCAGATTGGCGGTGCCTATTTCTACTCCTTCGCAAGGCCTGTGATCCGTGCGCTTGTGCATCGCACTACAAGCCGGTTGCCAACACCTCGTTGAGCCAAGGATCCCGACCTTGAAAGCAGACGCCTGCCTAAAATGCCTCCCGGCCCTCTGGAGCCTGCTTCGCATGGGAAAAGGCCAGCAGCGATGAATCCTGTAGTCGCTTCCACGTGCTACCGGGAGCTTTGCACCACGGCCGGTAGCCCTCGTTGTAGAGCTTGCCTGGTTCTTGCATCGAACTTTAGTCGCGGACGAAAATGGACGAAACAAACCAAGGTTGTCTACGCTTGATGGGCGCACAATACCAAATCCAAGTGTAACGTTTTGACGAGAGCTAGTAGCCGTTTTCATGAATGTTCACTTCTTCCACACTGCCGCAATGCTCACATGTAACCCTTATAAATTAAGCTTCCTTAAGCAAACCTCGCCGCAGAGACCTGACTTAGCTACCTCAAGCCGAGAACCGGAAAGAAAACGATACCACTTGGAAACCTTGCCGCTCTGGTTGTTCATGTTCCGTACATTCCTGAGTTCGAGCGCAAGCGACAGCTCACTCTCCCCGCTCGTGGCAATGAAGCGACATAGATGAAAATGGCTGAAACTTGATATGCGCACTAGCGGCAGGAACATCGAGATCTCGCCTTCCGCGACCTGTGGAAGTGTCGTCGCTCTCTCCTGAGCTCTGCTTGCCTCGGAAAGGAAGGCTCCATCCATCTCCTGGATCTCGGTGGGATCTTCGCCGGCAGCTGAATCGCTGGAGGGCGTCCTGGGCCATGGAGACTGCTAGGCTGCTAGAAAAGGTACAACCAGTATGGGCCATTCCCTCGTCACTGCTCTCTTCCACCAATATTAACACTTGCCCTCCTCCTCATCGTCATCATCACCAGCAGCTCTAAAATCGTCGGAACACTCTCAGAACAGCCAGCGCAATTATCTGCTCAGATGGTTCCAGTCCTAGTCCCAGTCGCCTACCGACCATGTGGTGCACGTGTACTTGACCCACATTAGTGAGCATTGGTGGCAACAACGGAAGCTGCGGTGGCACAGCAGCAGCAGCAGCACGAGCAGCAACGACAACACCAGCACCCTCGTCAGCAGCCGCAACGGCGAGATCAACAGCGGTTGTTGCGACGATAGTCATGGTAGTTTGGTGACAATCCTGACAGTATATTCTAGTACATTTGCGTCCCGGCGGGTCTAGTTAGTACAAGCAGTATAGCGGTCGGAAGGGCTTTCCCGTTGGCGCCAAGCGTCAGGTCCCGACTTCGGGCCTCCGGCGAAAGCCTTTGGGAAGCCTCCGAAGAAGGGAGACGCTGAGCTGCAGCTAGCTCGACAGGCCTGGGCTTTGAAAGGAATTGAGGGGGTTTATGAGCTTATGTAGAGTTTTTTCGTTGGGGTCGCATGACCGAAGAGAAAGGGCTAATGAAGAATTCGAGGGGCTCTGCCACGGAGATGCCGAAAAAAAACCACGTCTTGTATCCTAGGCTTGAAACCTACAGATTGGCAGGTGTACTCCTTTGTAGAGGGCCCTGATGTCGTTAATTGTAGGTTGTTGGCACATGTGTGCATGCAGTCTCGACAAACAAATTCATGCCCTGCATCCGTTCTCGTGGTCGGTGCCTGCGCAGTCAGGCGCAACATCTATCGCGTACTCCAGCTGCGATGCTGTCGGCTGGCCGTTGGGCGAAACAAACGATGCGTCTGCCAACAGTTCCACATGGCCCATGTTGCCTCGGCAGGCAAACAGAACCCAATTTCGACGACCTGGCACAGCGTCACCTTTCACTAGTTAGGATTAGTAGGATTGAAGAGCAAACAATGTCGCACTGGTTTTGTCGAAACCGGTGGCCGCTGTCAAAGTCTGATGTGAACACCATGGGCCCAACCACCACGCGCTGACGCTGCCTGAGTCGTGTGCTTTCCACCTTGCTGTCCATGCCAGCACGCGGTACCCATGGCAAATCAAGGGAAACCATCAGCTCACCTCTCAAGCTATCAACAGCGGACGGGGGAAACTTACTCTCATCTCTCCGATGATGGCTCCATCTTGGGCTCAGGTTCAGGTTCGAAGGAGCGTAGCAGTACATGGTTACTTGCATTCCTCCCATTACAGCTCATGGCAGAGAGCCCTGGGCAGGAGCCGAAGGTGAAGCCAACGAATAAAGAAGACCCCTTCAGCGAGCAGTCGCCACATTCAGCTCCATCCGGCACAAGCCTCCGGCTATTTTGAGGCCCAGAATGAACTAGCATTACGACGACATTATGTACGAGGTTCTGCCGGTCACAAACATTTGTGCAAAACACGCAAGGTTCTTTGCAAAGCTCTCATACCCTGAGCTCTTGGAATTGTACTTGGGCACTACTTGGGCGCAGGCTTCTTCTGCAACGCCGCTAACGAATCCTTCAGCATGTTGTTCGTGTTGGTGAGCGCCTGCTGTGGCCAAGTTTGAGAACATCCCCTTCCACCAAGTTTGGCCACACAGACCGCAGGGCTCCCTACAGAAGGCAAGTGACCACTGAAGTCTGAAGCGTGACAGCTGCGCCAACTGTGAATGAACGCAAAACAAACACACATCCAGAGACATGTACCCGCACAGACACGCACGCACACACGCGCACACACACACACGGTTACAGGGGACAAACATAGACATAAGCATAAATTAGAATAAGTTCTGACAACCCTAAGCCTACCCTACACACATTTGTGGCAGCAGCACCACCGCCGGGCAGCAAAAGCTCGAGCATGCATAGATGCAGGAGAGGACAGCGCGACATGAAGCAACTTTCAAACCAACCGCTACATACCGCTACTAATCAGACGACCACAGAAATTTGAAAACAAGCGCTCACAGAACCAGGAAGGCTTTGCGTATCTACGAAGAATCAATCCGTAATCTCAGGAGCAGCAAATAATACCGGGCAAGTGCTCACCGGGTTCCGGCCTGGCTTTCATGCTGCGCTCGCTTGAGATCAGCACGCAGCTGCGCCACCTCCAACAGTCGGCACTCACTAAGCCATCTGAGAGTCGAGCAGCAGGCCCTCGACTAGGGGATCAGCCAATCTGAGTGCCACACAATTCAGTACCAAGAAGAAGGAAAGGCCAGTGGCAGCCAAACATTGTTGCACTCACAAAAAACAGAACTTGTGCAGGGCTTCCGGCTTGGGGGTGTGGGCGACCGGCCCAAGCCAGATGGTAGAGGGTTCTGTCGAGTATAGGCATCAGGGAATCAGTGGCAGCATCTACCACAGCCTCGGGGGACTCCTCAACCCCAAGGCCTACAAAGGTAAGAACTGTGACCCAGCCAGTACTGTGCCAAGCTCAACCCAGGCCGAAGCATGCCAAATCATCGCAAATGACCCATCGCTTCAGGCTTCCGACAGGTGCTACACTGCCAGGGGCTTCCGAAAAGAAATGGAGTGGCACCTGGATCTACCAAGCAGGGCCCGAAAGAGTTTACAGTAGCTGGCACGTGCAGAGGCTGCGCCAAGGCTTGGCTTGGCAGTCAGCCACACCGCATCTACTACCCTCCTCAGTTTGCTTTGAGATTCAATAGATGCCCGAAGACCAAGTGGTGCCCAGGCGAGGTTTCCACAGTCTTCGATTTCGACACGCTGACAAACGGTTCTGGGCCTGGGCCGGGTGGAGCTGGCTCTCAACAACCTCAGTCAAGAAATCACGAAAACAATCGAGGACAGCTTCTGGGCTGGCTGGCCATCCCTCCCCGAGCCCCCAGCCTCCCGCAGGTCATTCTGCAACTTCTGCACTTGCTCCCTGTGATCCTAGACGTGGTGGTGTTTTGTGCTCTCACAGTCTCCGCCATTACAGCTCAACTTCCTTGGTAAAAGCTGCCGGTGTTCTCGCTCGGACACTCACGCTCCCGACATGCAAACTCATCCAATGCACTCCACCTTTTCGCATCTGGACTTGTGCAATGGCCAGAGACTGCCCACCTACATCCCAGTATTGCGGTAGGGTTCACGGCTCAATGCACAGATTTGTCGGGTTCACATCAATCAGCTGTAAGAACAGCACTGCATGCTAGCTTTGCTTGCCTTCTACGGTGCGAATGCAGCTGTGATTCTGTCTTGCAAGCTAAACATGTCGCTCCTCTGCCTGCTTCGCCCAGCCGGCCTTCAGTCGAGCATCTCTTCCACGAAGACTAATCAAGACTAATCACTTGACAAGATGAGATATATATATATATATAACAGGAGGAAACTTACATGAGTTGCACCACGCCTCGTGCTCGGCGAATTTCTCCTCGTACTCCTGCGAGGCCAGTTCGGAAAGGTCTTGGGCAGGGACTAGCGCTGCCTGCTGCTGCTGATGCGACTACTGCTGCTACTGTTGCTCCTGCTGCTACTACCACCACCACCACCACCACCACCACAACCACCACCACCCACCACCCACCACCCACGACCCACCACCCACCACCACCACCACCACCACCACCACCACTACCGCCACAACCACCAGCAGCGCAGCCACGACGACGACGACGACTCGTACTACGGACTACTATTAATAAGAATACTAAGAATACTAGTACTAATAATAATAATAATAGTAGTATTATTATTAATAATAATAGTAATAAAAAATAATAGTGCTTCTTCTACTATATATTTCTACTACTTCTACTACTTCTACTGCTGCTGCTGCTNNCTACTACTACTACCACGACTACGACGACTACTACTACTACCACCACTACTACTACTTCTGCTACTACTGCTACTACTGCTACTACTGCTACTACTGCTGCTGCTACTACTACTACTACTACTACTACTACCGCCAGTACTACGACCACCGCCACAACCAGCACGCAGAGCAGCAGAACCGCCACCAGCAGCAGCAGAAGCAAGAGACATGCTTGCCATTGTTGTCGTTCTCGTCGTTGTTGTTGTTGATGCTGCTGCTGTTGTTGTGGTTGTTATGATTGTTGCAAGTACGGATCGTCGATGTCCTCTTGACAGCACTGAGAACTTCAGAACAGACCTGCATCTCAGGGGTTGCGCCGACCTCCTGCACTGCACGGAGCTGCTTGATAGTCTGCTCCAACTCACCTGGACATATTTACCGATTGGTGATAGGTTTTGTCGGTCTTTCTTGCAACAACAGCTCAAAGCACGGCCAGTTCAGGAACATCCCCACAGCTCTTTTTGCATGGTGGAGGCTCCAGATAGCAAATCTAGGTGATCTGAGGCCACACACATCGGCAAATCTCGTAGTTTTCCCGGAGGCTCACGTACGCCGGAGCCTCCGAGGCTGCTGACTTGGTAGTTCTCCACACTTGGCAGATGTGCCGAAGAGACATGTCGCATACCAGACCAGTCAATACATGATACAAGGCCTGTTCGCGGTATCGTGGGACTACGCTCGGCATTACCAGAGCTTTTGTCCTCGGTGATCAGACTGGCAGCCTGGCGCAAGTTGTCCATGAAGTTCGACTGGAGTTCGACCTGAGACAGACGGATGTGCCATGCATGAAGGGGCTCCATCACAAGCACCCAGAACGTCACCATGCTCAGAATCGTAGCCATGCAGGAAACAATCGAAAGTGTCCGTCTTGCCATCAAAAAACATCACAAGCAGAGCGACCTCTGGAAATCAGTACTGGCGTTGCTTGTTTGTGTGCATATTCAATCTTCGCTGCCAGCGAGCCCTCGAGCCATAAGGAGAAGGCGTCAGAGTCAAAGCAAGAAGGCTTTACTGGCAGCCGCACCCCCTGAGATCCTTTCCACCCTTGCAGGTTTCTTTTCGGCCCAGGGCAGGGCCGGGGATGAGGACGAAAGCAAACTGGTAAGAGCTAAGGCTGCTAATTAAAGCACGAACAGACAACGGACAACAGCAACAAATGCAATGAAAGAAGGTATTCAACAATAACAGCCTTACGGAGCCGTTGGAACGTAGTCGTGGTTGCCGTAATCTTGCTCATAGTGGCGGTAACAGTAGTTTTTCTTGTCGTTGTCGTTGTCATAGTGGCAGTAGTGGTGGTGGTAGTAGTAGTAGTAGTCGTCGTCGTCGTCGTTGTAGTAGCAGCAGCCGCAAACGCCCGGAGCAGGAGCAGCAGCATCAGCAGCAGCTGCAGAAGCAATAGCAGCAGCCGCAGCAGAAGCAGCAGCAGCAGCTGCAGAAGCAATAGCAGCAGTGGCAGCAGCAGCAGCAACCATTGCTGTCAAGGCAATCCCAATCGTCGCCGCTGCTCCGCTGCTCTTTCACTTCAAGTGACTATAGTGTGCTTTGAGCAATGATAGCCCAAAGCACGTCAGCCAGCTCAGTCAGCTGTCCACGGCAGGGAGGTCACCAGGAACCTCGAAAATGAATCAGCACGGTCTTGTCCTGCCACAAGCTTTTGGTTCGGGGATTGAAGATTCTGACGGGTTGGGGGTTCAGCGATTTCGGCGCATAGAGGAATAGCGACCGGCGGCTTTGAGGCCTGTGGTAAACTCCAGATGTCTGAATGCGAACTGAACCCGAGATCGGAAACCACTGAGCACGCAAATTAAGGCTGCGGGTTCAAGCTGAAAGGTTTGGAGCTCACCAAAGGCCGACGGGATGAAACATTGATATCAAAGGCTAAAGCCAGGCTAGAGTGAAATCTCCTGGCTTCGCTAGCATGAGGATATTGCGCAGGATTCGGAAATTCATCTTCTGCAGGGCATGATGATTCACGTAGACTCCCACGATATCTGCGTTAGTCAACTCGCATTCTAGCTGCGAGCAGAGCATGCCTTCATGTGCTTCAGGGAACAGAAGGCTCCCGTGGTATCTTGTTTCAAGCCAGACCTGTTTCAGGGCCCTAGCGACGACGACAAACAAGAATGAATACATCAGCTCACGTGAACAGAAACCCCAACGCCGAAACAAGGCCACGTCTAAACCGTGCCAAGTGACCGAACCCCGAAGCCAAAGCAGGCTAAAGTGGGGACTGTCTTGGGCCTTACTGATACACATCGACGGCCTTACTGATACACCTCGGACCTCGACCTCAAAAGCTTGGGTCCTGTGCCACGAGGTCGATACCTCTGCCGTGCGGAAGTGAGACTTGTGTATGTCGGGCACTGCGTATGCATGTATTTGCGTATGTATGGAAGTATGTATCTATGCACGTATGTAAGCATGTATGCAATGTATGCATGTGTGTATGAATGCATGCATCAATGCATGTACGTATGTTCGCATGCATGTATGCATTTATGTACGAAAGTTTGTATTTCTGCATGTATGTTTACATGTACTCATGCATGTAGGTACGTCATGTATGTATGCATGTATGCATGCATGTATGTATGTGCGGATGTATGTATGTACAGATGAAAGCATGTATCTGTATGTTTGCACGTTCGTTTGTATGTATGTATGTATGTATGTATGTATGTAAGTATCTACCTATGCATGTATGTATGTATGTATGTATGTGCTTGTATGTATGTGATTGTACGTAATGTATGTGTTTGCATGTGTACGCATGTGTGTGTGTGGGGTATGTAAGTGTATGCATTTGTGTGTATGCGTATGTATGTGTATGCATGCACACATACATGCGTGTATGTAAATAATGTATGCATGTATGTATGTATGTATGTATGCATGCATATATGTAAGTATGTATGCATGCATGCATGCATGTATGTATGTGTATGTATGAATGTATGAATGTATGTAGGCATGTAGGCCTGTAGGTATGTATGTATGCATGCATGCATGTATATACGTATGTGTGTATGTATGTATGTATGTATGTATGTATGTATGTATGTATGTACTCGTGTATGTGTCGTAGCTTTGTAGGTGCATGTGTGTGTGCGCGTGTGTATATGTGTGTATATAGATGCATATACTCGCGGGTCCCAGGCCCCTACCCCTCCACGCCACTGGTATCCCCCCTCTGGTGACAGTCGTCGTCTTCGGAAGCCGCGAACGCGGAACAAACCCACGCAATCACAGGCAGGGAGGACGACGGAAGGGCTGGTGTCACTGCAATGATCCGCGGCGCGACAATCAGTTCTTCTGCACAGAGGGAACAACTGCATCAGAGCCGCGACAAGGGCACCATTTGCAAGGACGAGCACCAGGACGATGACATTACTACTAAAAAACGGCAGCAACCATACCTTTGTACAACACGCTGCTCCGCTACCCTAGTCTGCTAACTGCTCAGCAGCAACGCACGGCATGGGAGGACTGGGCCAACCAAGAAGACCACAGGCCCCACCCCACAAGGAGGGCTGGGGGAGGTGACAAGGCAAACAAGAAGACCACCCACTTGACAGGCAAGGGGTGGATACCATGGGGCGGGGGGGAGAGCGGAGGTGGGGGGAGGGGATGAAGCAGCAGACCTGCATCACAAATGTGTGTACATGTATATGTGCATGTAGATGTTGATGTATGTGTGCATCTTAGTTTTGTATCTATGTACATATATATATATATTTATATTTATATTTATATTTATATATATATATATGTATGTGTGTGCGTGTGTAAACATATATACATATATATATATACACACACATACCTGTACATACAAAGATACTTACGTACTTACGTACACACACACATAAGCACAAACACGCACACACACACATAATAAACATACACATATGCATAATAAACATGGACATAGTCATGGATCTAGACATAGACAGAGACATACACACATACATATACATCTACATATATGTGTATATCATGTATATCCTTTTTGGTACTGGCAACGGTAGTTAATGGTAATGACAAACAAACAACAAGCCATGAGCAAAACGGAGGCTGTGCGAATTCACGAGAGAAAGAGTCCGTCGTTGTCAAGAGACGTTCCTCGTCTCGGCATCCTCTGAAACCGCAAAATATTTCCGAACGATCATCATACTGGACTTCCAAAGCCACAAAACACCCGGGAGTCCATGCACATTACAATCCTGCAACCGACCTGGGCTGGGCCGACTTTGCGACTTAGATGCCTTTGGCTTTCAGCATGGAGGCGTCGAACTCCATGCCGCTCCCACTGGTGTCACGGACACTGTGCAAGAGGCATCTTGGAAACCTCTGATGCCTGTAGTGGTGAGTCCGGGGCATCCGCTGCTTGGAATATGGGGCCGGGCGGGGGCCCAAAAAGTCGAGGGGATGGAGGCAACTCAGACATGCACCGACGAAGGCGGCCGCCAAGCACAGCTTCGCCATGGCAAGAGACGAAGTCTAGGGTGGGGGAATGTCAAGCTTGCAGGTTGGATGACGAGGTGTGCGTCTATGCCTGACAGAGGAAGGAGTGGAAGAGCTTGGAGCTTTACATGAAGACATCTGAAGTTAAACCAGATGCAATATGGTCGCGAGGTAAGGGTGGCTTTTGTTTGCTGCTGCGTCCAGGCCGACCCTGGATGGTCAATGATATATGGTCGCGACCCTTTTACCCCTCGAACCATGCGAAGATTGCAAGCTGTTCAGAACAGGTGGGCGAATAATCTGCGAATGGTGCAAGGACTCAACAGCCGTGCTACCCGTAACAATCATGTTGCGAAAATCACCCGCGCAGAGCTTATGCTTATGCCCTCCTTCATCTTGCTACTCCCGTATATGTCGACCCCTGTCACGCTCTCTCTCCCTTGGGCCAAAGAATTCCCGCGCGGTGCCCTGTCTCGCTGTCAATCTGTCTTTTGCTATCACCTCCAAAAAGGTCAAAACATACCCTTGAAACGAACAGTTATGTTTTTACGGCTTCATAGCATTGATGACTCCTACAGGCAAAAAACTGTGCCTCTCATTTGTCAAGACATCACTGATGTCACAGATTCGGAGTCTGATCAAATTTCGCAAATCCAGTTCTTGATTGCAGCAGCAAAGGCTAAGAGGCGAAAGTCAAAGCCAAAGCCAAGACTGTTGGCAAGGCGAGAGCCAAGTCAGGCATTCTGAAACGTGCGGATTTCAAGAATGCTGATTACTGGATTGTCAATGACAAAAATGTTTGACTTATCACCTCAAACCTTGCAAAAAATTGTTCGGCTTGCGATACCTTCGTGGTCTTCCAGTTGTTGAATCGAGATTGACAAGCTGGCGAGATATCATT